ATGGATAACTGCACTTCTGATTGCTTAAACACCCAAGATTTGAAATCAAATCTGTGTTGAATGTGATGGAAGTATATGTGTGAGAGAATGGACACTGCCCTACAATTTCAGGACATAACTTTTTATTGGGTTCTATGTCTTGTCCTGGGTGATCTTAAGCACTAGGCAAATAGTAATATGGAATAAATTCTCCAAGAACAAGAGAAATTGAATCGTTTAAGTTCAGGCAGCCTGTTTGCTTACGTGTACATTTTATCTGTTTCTTAGATATTTTTCCTTGAACTTCACAGACCATTTGGGTAATGAAAATCAAATAATTGTAAGAAGCACTCTATTTTATCAGCATTTTCTCATATACTAAATTCATTCATCTTCTGCTTATCAATATTGCTCAAACAATTTGCCTAGTAAAACTTTTAAGATATCAGGAATATTATATATGCATGCATGTCAGCCTATATACCCATAAAATTGAAGCTAGTCACTAAAGTTAGATTATGACTATAGAGATGTTGAAAGAGATGTATAAAACTATTCATCAGTAAGGATTACTCAAGCAGGATTTAGTGATTACTGAATCAAATAAGTCCTTTTTTTCTTCTGACTTATATGAATTTGTATCTTTAATATATGTGTTCAAAGAAGTTTCCTCCTGAAGAATGTAGGGGGATATAAAGACCCACAGACAGACATTATACAGAGAGTGAGAGATTTGAAACCTTCAGCCCTAAACAGGATGTCTTCATCAAATCCCTGTCTTCAGAACTCAGATAACCAGGGGAAGAAGGGACAGAAAGCATGTGAGAGCTACATGGGAAGAAGACAACAACAAAACAAGGCTCTCTGAATCTGTATGATCAAAGATCATATGGCGTCATAGACAGGGACACAGTATGCATAAGCACTACAACAGAGCAGTGGTTTTGTGGGACTCCCGAGTGTGCAAACAAATGGATCCCTGATTCTTGTGTGTTCCCTTGGCCTCTTTTCTTTCTGTTAATTTGTCTTGGCCAAATTCAATGTTATGGGCTTTGCTATATTGTATTGTATTGTATTGTATTGTATTGTATTGTATTGTATTGTATTGTACTGTACTGTACTGTACTGTATTGTATTGTATTATATTATATTTTGTTAAATTTTTACATAATGAGTGAATGAAGTATTCATTGGTTGGTTGGTTGATTGTAAACTAAGCCACTAGGGTAATGGTTAACAACTGAAGTGTCATATCTGCTGGGAGAGAGAAAAATCAGTTCTCTACAATTGAGTGACATTGAATATGACAACCACTACCAGATAGGCCTCTTTTTCAGTAGACAATTAACATATAATAGACTCTACATATTTGTGTGTATGCATGCATGCATGTACACATACACATACTTGAGTAAGTTTGTGTGTGTGTGTGTGTGTGTGTGTTTGTGCATTTGGATACAGTTTGGTATTTTTTGGGGGGGGGTTGGTGATATTGTTTCTTCATTTTGTTTTCTTGTGGCTGTTTTTCTATGAAGTTTTCTTGGTTTGGGTTTTTTCTCTTGTTGTATTGGGTTTTGTTTTGGAAAAAAATCCTTAAGGTTTGGAAGGTAGAGATGAGGAAAATATCTAGATGGATATGGGTAAAGTGAGGCATAGGATCAAAATATACTTAAATTTAAAATTTGTTTTAAATAATTAGAAATATAATAAATGGGCTCACTGAGGCCTATAAGGCACTCCCAACTACTCTGAGTCACATGCTATCCCCTAGGAGCTCCATTGTCCTGGTAACTCCACATCTACCTTCACCTGGCTTACAGAACCAGTAACTACCAGGCTAGATCACTTCCCTCTGCATATTCCCTTGTCCTCCTATTCATCTGGGGCAAAGTCAGCTGCTCTGAGCATCACAGTGTCCCCCTGTAGTGCCATTGTCCAGCACAAGGCTAATTACCGAAGACCTGCTTAAACAGGAACATTCAAAATAGGCTAGAATCCCCCACATCTGTTACATCAGGAATATTCAGGGACAAGCAAACGATTAATGGAGAACATGAGAGCTCAATCAACAAAAGCCAGGGTAATATGGCAGCTTCAGAGTACAGAAAATCTACTACACCAAACCCTAGATATTCTATCAAAACCAAAGCACAAGAAAATTACAAGGAGTGGAACTGTGGGGCAAGTGGTGCCATGACAACTAGACAAAAAACCTAGTAAGGATGAGTAGATTAAGGAACTTCATAAATTCTCATAAATGAGAATGATAGGAATTTGTATTTGCTCCTGACCTGCCTCCTGCCCTGGAACATGTGACCACAGTACCCCACTAATAGGACCATGACAACTGGTCATGGAGTGTAGAGCCCAAAATTCTCCATGCTAATAAGGTATCTAGATGGGCCCTGAGGGTTGGCCAATAAGCTTCCCTTCCTGAATATTCCTGCAGAAAGCTATTTAAACTCTTGTCCACCCTGAGTAAGTCTTAAGCATGCTTTGAACCATGAATAAACAGGGTGGATAAGCAAGGACTTTCTCTCTCATCAGGCACCACCATGGGGGAAGCCACTGTCAATATTAGGCTGTACCACCTAAGTCTCCCACAGAAGCCCTTACTGCACTCCTGACACTTACTCAGAGCTAAACCAGATTCCCCTGGCCCCAGGGTCATCTCTGACCTCCTCCTACTTCTCAAATGTTTGTGGTTCGCAGCGGTGTCTAAGTGCCCAGGGCAATGAGAACCATCCTTTGTCCCAGTTCATTTCATGCCATTTCTCACCTGGCACAAAACTGTCTAGGACTCCTATCATAGGCTATGTCTAACTTCCCTTGAATGGAAGACTGTATCACATGAGCTGGCATCCCATGATAGCAAGGGAGGAACATAGGCTAACAGTGGTCCTGCATTTTCTCTCCCTGAGCAGTATCCCAGAACCCCAGTGTTAAGGCAGAATACATACCCACAGGGGACATCATTAGTGATATTAATTAATTAATTAAAAATAGTAATAAAGGCCTTTAAACAGGAAATGAATAAATCCTTTAAGGAGATAATAGAAAACTATGATCAAATAGACAGGAGGCCTTTAAACAGGAAACAAATAAATCCCTTAAAGAAATACAGGAAAAAACAACAGATGAATAAATAAAGCTGTTCAAGATCTGAAAATATAAACAGAAGCAATAAAAATAAACAGAAACCAAGAGAATCCTGCAGATGGAAAACCAAGGAAAAAAAAGCAGGAACTACAGGTGCAAGAATCACCATCAGAATACAGGAGATGGAAGAGAGAATCAGAGTCATTGAAGATATGATAGAAGAAATTGATATATTAGTCAAAGAAAATGCTAAAGCTAAAAAGTTTCTAACATAAAAACATCCAGAAAATCTTGGATACAATGAAAAGTCCCAACCTAAGAATAAAGAATGTAAGGGGAACAGTCACAGCTCCAAAGACCAGACAATATTTTCAACAAAATTATAAAAGAGAATGTTTCCAATCTAAATAAATAGATAACTATAAATATATAAGAAGCTTACAGAACACTAATTAGATTAGACCGGAAAACAAAATCCTCCCACCATATAATAATCAAAACTTATAAATGTACAGAACAACCAAATATTAAAAGCTGTGAGAAAAAAAGGCCAAGTAAGCTGAGATTCCTAATAGTGGGGAATATAGAGACTTGTGTCCACCTACTATAGCCAGGAAGGTCTTTCAGGGAAAAAGGGGGGTCATAAAAAATTCACAAAACCTTCAACTCAAACTTTTTCCTGCCTACAAGATGTACAAACGTAAAGATGAACCAGAAATTGAGGGAATGGTCAACCAATAACTGCCCTAGTTTGATCCCATGTGAGATAGCCAACCCCTGACACTATTAGTGATCTTCTGCTATGCATGCAGACAGGAACATAGCATAACTGTTTTCTGAGAAGCTTCATTCCATAGAGGATATAATACAGATACAGAGACCCACAGCCAAATATCAGGCAGAGCTCTGGGAATCTTGTAGAAGAGTGGGGGATAGAAGTGAGAAAGTCAGAGGAGTCAAGGACATCACAAGAAAATCTACAGAGTTAACTAACCTAGGCCTATGGAGGCTCACAGAGACTGTACTACCAACCAAAGAGTATGCAAGGGCTGGACCTAGGTCCCCTATAGATTTGTAACAGATGTACATCTTAGTCTTCATGTCGGTCCCCTAACAATTGGAGCAAGGGCTGTCTCATATTCTGTTGCCCATCATTGTACCCCCTTCTAGTATCTGGACTGCCTCGTTGGGCCTCACAGAGATAGAATATGCTTACTCTAGCTGGAAATACATGTCTCAGAGTGAGGTGGTACCAAATTTGGGGAAAGGGTGGGAGTAATAAGGGAGAGATTTGTAGGGAGGACTGGAAGGAGAGGGATAGGGTTGAGCTCAGGATATAAAATGAATAAAAAATAAAAAATAAATTACTGAAGAACAAAACATACAATAAATAAAGAAACTTGGTCATTTTAACTGTTAATATGTATTATAGAACAGATAGGTTATGTTTTATATATTCCCTGGAACAGAAATCACTGATTAAGATACAAGAAAAACATGAACTACATTACACATAAGAATATGATCTGCTATGTGCTGTTGCTTCATGGTTTCAAGAAAGACATAAACAGACTTCCTTTAATTTGCCCAAAGAGATAAAGCCAGAATCCCCGTCTGTGTTGCTTTCTGCTTTATAATACTATGATCCCTATATCTAATATTTTATAATCTAGAAAACTTGCAGGATTTTATGATCACTTCATTTGTATCAAAGAGTGGTAATCAATCTTTACTTTGGTGGGCATTATCTATGGAGAGATTATAATTCTCATGAAATTCTCCTATTCTCGTGATATTTTCTCTCTCGCGATATCCTCTTCCTCTCGCGAGATCCTGTTTGCAGGGGCACTGTGAGCCTCACAATGGGGCCCTTTGTCTGAAAGGGCGGGGCTCCCACTCAGTTAGCAACAGGTGAGTGGGTGGTAGTATTACAGGGGAACTCTGGGTGGATAAGTCCACTTAACCATGCAGGATCCCAGTGGGGACAAAGTTTGTAGAGCAGGTGGTGAAGAAGAAGGGGAGGATGGACAGCACACATCCAGAGTTCGTGATACTGAAACAAGCTCACATCGATCTGAAGCAAGCTTACATCATTCTGAAACAGAGAATAACCGTGATAACTCTCCACATGTAAATCATGCCCAAGATTTTGGTAGCCAGGCTGCCCCAGGTAGCCTCGACGCAAGGAACCCGTTAGAGGCAAGAGTGGTGGTGGAAGAAGCAGCCATAGCTCCTCAGGGTGAACAGGCACCAATTATACTGGGACCCGGTGGAGATACTGCAACAACAGCTGGAAGTCGACTCTTGGAGTTGTATCTTTTATGAGGAGCACATTAACAGGGGTACAGCAACATAGTAAGAACAGAACTCCAAGAATGATTTGAGAGGGGACTTATTGTGGGGAGGTTTATAGCTTACTGGGAAGGAGACGGAAAAGTCATGCTGTAGATAGTCAATCCTGAGGCAGACTACAGAGGCAGAATAGGGAACCAAGTATATCTGTGAAGGCTATAGGGTGTGGAACACCAAAACCACTGAGGAAACGGCTGTGAGTTTCCTTGGGTGTTAGTTACAGGATGCAAAAGTAAACCTCAGAGGTGTGATCAAACCCAATGCACAAAGAAATTCAGTAGTGAAAACCTTAACTACAACTCCCTTCAGTTCTGTAACAGTGCCGTTCCGGACCGCTGTGGAGGCAAACATTGCATGCAGAACCCTGGCCTCAAATGTCCAGCACCAGCAAGTGATGGTTCAGCAGGAGTTCACTGTGAATGACACTATTCTCACTGTGTCAGTTCTCCAAGAGTTTGGAGTGAGGGTGGTCTTTGATTGGGAGGCAATGGGTATTCTAGGTGCTGTAATGGAGACTCTGGTTGACTAAAAGTAAGCAGATATAGTATGAGGACACTGCCCAGATTCCTCATTTTTCTCCTGATGTTTTCTCCTTTCTACTTTTAGTAGGTGGACCACTGAAGATCCTGTTCTCTTCCGAACATCCATCAATGCCTTCCTTGACCAACTTTCCCTTGTGATGAGGACAATCCCACGCCCAGTGTTTATGGCTGTTGTCAAACAAGGAAGAGGAAGAAATAATGAACTCTAATATGTTACCACCCACAACACAAGGCAAAGGCATTTCATGATTTGGGAAACTGTCCCTTTGCCTTCATATTCACTGTTTTGATTCTATCACACTGTATCTATCAGTCAGTGTTACTGGAGGAGTGAATATTGAAAGTCAGATAATGAAAATAACACTGAGTTACTGTTTTTATTTTGAGTTATGGTAGAAATCTTCAGGTTTCTCAATTGTGTCCTTTAGTTGGAAGGGGAGCGTCTGTGTTTCTGATTTCTTATCCTCCAAGGCAATTAGCAATTAGGAAATGGGAGAAATGAATATTTTATTTTTTACTAGTATCATGGAGTGTGTATACTTGTGTGTATACATGTGTGAGTTTGCGTGTGTGTGTGTGTGTGTGTGTGTGTGCACAAGTGAAATGACACCAACCTGGAGTTCAGAGGGTGACTTTTGTGAGTCTTCCATCCACCATGGGGGTTCTTACTACCAAATTAAAGTCATCATCAGACTTGGAAATCTTTTCAACAGAGGAGCCACTTTTACAGCCCATTTTCAAATAAATTAATTAAAAAAATACTATAAAAAGCATCACCAGCCACTCAGTTCTTCAAACTGATTTCTTCATTCAGCCAGATTTCCTCTCTAGGTAAATATCTGTTAGTAAAGCTATTTTTATTTTGTCCATTTGAATCAGAATACCTTTCCTTTTTTTTGTTTTGTTTTGTTTCTTTCATTCTGTCTTGAATTTTGTCAGTCTTTTTATTTACTCTTAATACTTTTGGGTGCAAGTTAATGCATTTCTGAGTGTCCTCACTGCTCCCTCTACTATGAGGCTTGAGTGAAGACACACATAAAAGCTCTCATCTTGCTCAATAACTAATAATTTTACTGTGATCCTGTTGGGAATCATCTGTGGAGTAGTCACTTTCTAGGTGCAAGCAGTTTTCTTACACAATGACCTCAGAGTGTTATGCTGGAGCCTCAAGCAGAGCTAGCCTTCTTTCCCTTCATAACTCTATCCTCTTAGACTCTCTTTCACAGACTGTAATTGCCCTTTATTATTGGAGAGAGGAGTGCATAGGTGGATGGAGTTAGGGGCTATAATATGGGCAGTCAGAAGCTACAGATTTGAAAGACTTTCTCTGAGGGAGAACTAATACATTGGAGTTTTTGAGGAGAGCAGATAGTAAACTGCTATACTACTCAACAGTTGCATTCTACCACCCTAGCTGATCGGCTGAAATGGCAGTAGGGGTTAAGACTTACAACATTCTATAGAACATGAATTAATGTTACTAAAGATGTGGTTAAGTATACAGATCAGGGAGTGTTTTTTATCTACTCACAAAAAGGTATAGAGCAAGAGTCATTGATATTATGGATGGGAGTTTTCATTTGTAGCCCATCTCCCTGAAGGGCCCAAAGCAAGGCTGTAATTAAGAAGGTCCAGGAGTGGTTGGGACATCTTGTATTGGTGACCTCTACCAGGATACCTGATTTTGGGTTAAGTCTAGGGTGAAACAAGTATCTCACCTTCCTGGGATGATGGCTCAAATAATTTAAAATATTTTTAAATATTGTGTACTTTTATTCTTTTGTAGGACTTGCATAATATTTAGTACATGTTATAAAAAATATAGTGAAGTAGAGAAGTAATATGATTTTTTTATCTCTCATACTCAATTTTATTACACAATTACACATAGACTTGATATTTATTTTAGTTTAAAATGACTAATAATTTTTCTGTCTTATGATTATTATTATATGGTAGAAAACAAATTAGTTAGTACTCAGGCATAGTACTCAGATTTGGGACTATAAAAACAAAATATTAGAATTTATTCACAAAAGAAAAATATTTATTTCATATATTTTATGATATTTTGTCCTAAAATTTTAGTTAATTAATATATGAAAAGGAACAGAAATGTCAAACTTTGTGACAGAGATAGGGGTGTGAGTAATTATTTTCAGAACTGCATTTAGATTTTAAATTATAAATACCTCAATCAATCTACAAAGAAATACTGGAAGTCAATTTTATATCTTTGCCCCACCATTCCCCCTTAATTCCAATAAACATTTTTCATATTTCTGGTAGGACACTATGTCATACATTTATTATAGCCTTCTTTTATTGGTATGAATAGTATCTACAAACAAAGCATTTTTATTTATTCTTAACATTTGGAATTTTATTCTAAACAATCATAACCATGAGCATTATTTAAAATTATATGTCCCATTTTGTTTCTCTACAATGATATTGACGATGCTCACAATGGATTCCCATTGCTATATCTTAAAATAACCATCCTTAAGGAAGAAAAATAGAAAAAAGACCTCAGTAAACCACCATTAAACTTGTTTTTTACATTTCTTCACAAATGAGTAAGCAGAATAGTTATATGAAAAATATTAGGGTACTTTTGGTTTATCCACCATGTGAGCATGGAAAAATGATTTTATTCTTTTACTACTATAATCACTATTTATTAAATGGGATAGGTAAGTACTTATCTAGAGATTATTAGGATAATTCCAGAACACAATGGATTTGGATATCTAAGCAGTTTCTAGTCATTAGGAGACTTGAGAACAGATAGTTACATCTGAAGAAAATGTGTTTCTCAATTTCACTAATTTTACTCTGTATGACTGATTTTTGAACTATATGTGTATAGGATGCATTACTTGGAATTAAGATGAATTTAAATTACATTACAAAATGAAATATGGTGAGTATTCTCCCTGTGGTTTAGAAGTAATTTTCACCAATGAGTGTAGCAAAAGAGTCCTCAACAGTATAATAATTGAAAGGTGTTACTATTCCTTATCATGACAATGTCCAAGCAATTGCATAGTGAAGACCACACTTGTGGTTACTTACAAATAGGTGTGTAAAAATCTTGGTAATCTTCAAAGCCTTTGGTCAGAAAATCCCTCTTTTCCGTCAATATTTTAAAACATGAACTTCTTTCACCAGACTGTACTACAGTTCTTATTGTGCTGCTTTGTCTCAACTGATTTGCAGTTCTGTCATCCTCAACTATTTAACTTCAGATTGTATATTGTCAACCTGGAGTTTACTGATCTTCAGAAATCAGAGCAGATATGTAATTACAGTTCACATACAATGTCAAAGCAATACAATTTATTTGAAGAATTGGTACTATAGAATAATTAGCTTGAAGCAAATTTAGTTTTTAGATGGCTGTTATAAGGATTGCATGACTCTATTCTGACTTACTCTTTTTGTAAGAAAACCACTAACTCTAAATCATATCCCACAGATCATTTGGAGAAATCACTGTTTGAACATCTCTATTGTAGCATCTGGTCTGTGCCTATCAGCCTCTCTACATAGTTGTTTCAATTAGGAAACATGGTCTATTCCTTAAATATTCCCACAGGACATGATCTAATTCTAAACTCGAGTCTTCATTCATCATAGTCTCAACCCTTAATCTCCTGCCTAATTTAATTTTCTTTGTCTCCTCTTCTAGTATGACCTCCATAAAATTAATTTGAAAAGGGCTTTATATTAGAGATACTCTACAAAACTAATTTTAAAAGGTTTTATATTAGAGATATTTTGCTTGAGACAAATGTCTCTGACATTTCTGACAACAGAAGACACGATAACTGAACTTATAACTCTTTTTCAGACTCACAAACATTCAACTTCTGGCCATTAGGCCACTGTTTCTGTATACAATTCTTCTATTTACTCCACTTCTACTGGAAAATTTATGTTTATCTTTTTGGTTGAAGCTATATTTGGTTTTCCCACAGAAATTGCTTTTTAATGTAGGTTCTTTGATCCCTCCTTAGAACAAAATCCCTCACAAATTGAGGTATTTCACTTTTCTACCACTATTATACATTAGGGAATACAGAATCTTCTTTGCTATATGTTATCCTTAAATTAAAATAATATACAGTAAATAGTGATGTAAATCTGATGAATACTGACATCTCATTGAAATACTCAAATACCACATTTCACTATCATCAAAAGATACTCAGAAGCTGTCTTTCTCTTCAATTAGTGTATATCTGTGCTAATTGTCTATGCACTGTGTGCTAATTGTCCTGCAATCTTAGGGTTTTGTGATTTCTTACTCTTCTTCAATTGTTCTCTAACATATATCCTAGGCAGTTTCATTGACTTTGATGTAGGATAAGTCATATTTGAATTCAAATCCCAGTTAGAATCCTTGGTAGTTACCCCATCATATAAATAGACTTTATTCACTACTCTGTACTTACAAACTATTAAATTTAGTTTCTTCAGACTTATTCCTCTCAAATATATGGGAATTTATCCATCATATTGTCTAGCACACCTTCCCTAATGTCTGATTCAGTCAGTCAGTCAATCAGTAAAAGTTGATTGAGTAACCGAATCCCTCAAGGTTTTCTGTCAAAACTAAACATTCATTTATCACTTTGAGTTTAAGAATACTTTCATTTTATTTCATTTGTAGTGTGTGAAAGTGAGGCAATATTTAAGTCAGACTCCAGTGTTTTTCCATTTATAACCTGTTGCACTTATTGTTTTTGTAATACATAACTTTTGTACTTGACTGTAAAATCACTAAGGTCAGAGGTTGTATCTCTTTAATTTTTCTCTTTAAAGCTTATTGTGTTGAGTCAAAGTTTGAGTTCTATGAGAAAGTGCTTAAAGAAAATTAGTAATTATTGTGCTGGTGTCCCTCATTATAACCCTTGATGCTGCACCACTATAGAATGTATAAGAATCAAGACTCACCCTTTAGGTGATACACTTCTGTTGTTTTCATTGGTTACCTTCAGAAATTTACTCACAATAGTTGAACTTTACAGTTTTTACTGCTTGACAACAAAATTAAATGAATAATGTACTTAATATCTTGATAAACAGGATATTAATCAATGTCTATTATTTTTATTTTTGATTATGGGATCTTAAACAGCATTTCAATTTTTTCTGCACATACTAAACTATACTTCTTAGTATGTCATTCCAAATACTCAAGTCTTTATGAATGGGAAATGACTACTCTAGGATAGCCTTTTAAAGGAAATATGACAGAAAAAGAGCTAAGGGAAAAAATTGAGAAAATGAAATACTCTATTAATATTTATGGACACTTTACTGTGTCTCCATCTCTATTACCATTATGTTAGATT